GGACTGCAACCACAGTAGACAGCTCTCCTTTTAGCATCAATGCAAGGAACACCTGTTGAAATTTATGAGAGCCAATGTACCAGCGTGCTTGTTGATTGGACTCTGCTGAAACCAGGGCTTGATAAGCGCTTTTCATTCTTCAACCCTTTTTGTTTTCTGTTGCATTGCTGTCTCTTTTTCCTTTGTAATCCCTTTTTCTGTGAATATTTTGTTTGCACTGTTTTTTGTTTAACTGTCTTTCATTTTATTAAACAATATTTCAAAATCGTTAATATTGTCTCTAATGCACTAACGCAGAACTTAAAGAATTCCTGTCTATTGAAGAGCGCTACTACATGGTAAACCTCTGGATATACCATTCTGTGGTGACAGTGTGTGTACAGACGTTTATATTCATAAATTGCTATTGCTAATATTGTAAACGGATGATAGGCCGACCCTCTATCTGGTGGCAAACCTGCTCTGTTCAGTGGTTTTGCAGAGAGCAGCCACAATCCTCCTCTTCTTGGGCCTCCCGCTGCTGCTCTCCCTCTTGCCTAATACCCCCATTGCAAGCAGCTAGGAATCCCCTTATTGTTAGAAAATATGCTAATAAATATCTGCCCCTTAGCTTCTTTTACTATTTAATGAACTTTTGTGAAAGATTTGCTAAACTGTCAGATATAGAGAAGTTCAGGACAAGAGGATTCTATACAATGCAGAATAGAGGATGTTGGATAGTCACTTTATCATAAAATTTCATATAAAGGCAATTTAAAAAATTGCATTGTAAATAACAACTGAATGTGATTTAAAATATGAGTATTTCAGAAATCAAATTTGATGCGAGCAACATTTTCTGCAAGATGTATTGCTGAAAAAGAATAATTTTATCTCACGCAGGCAAATTGTTCAAGAAATTGTGAAAGTTCACATGTGGAGAATAAAAGAAAAATTACAAGAACAATTAATTTAGAAAAAATATTTCAAACATTTATTTCTAGGGTGTTGTAAGTCTTCTATAGTCTCTTGTTACATTTGGCTTTATAAAAGGGAATGGCTGTTGGAAATAACTCATAACAGCCAGTAAAATATAAAAACCTTGTATGTGTTGCAGGAGACTTTTTTCCTCAGACTATTTTATTAATAAACCTATCATAAAGGCTCACATCGTCATTTTATACAGTTTCTTCTTTTGTGCTTTTAAAATGTGAACAGGGCACAGCATTCTCACATGTTCATTTATACTAGTTGTTATAGTGTATGCTTTTTTAACAGCTTTTTTTTTTTGCCTGAAACCAGTAAAAACAGTTTTAGTGTATATCATACCTCCTACCAGTAGATGCTGCTAATATAGCGCTTTTGTGCTCCAACTGTTTAATATGCATTTAATAAATGTACATTTTATTTTACATAAAATAGCAGCAAGTGAGCTTAAAAATATGTCAACTTACATAAACTGTTTGAAAATGATCCACACATACTGTTATATCGCTGCTTCGGGTGAGAACTAGAACATCGGCCGTTCATGTGATCGGCGAACACACAAGCAGTAAGGGCGTTGGGCGCAATGTTTGCATGCCGCACCTCACAATGCACTGCGCTCTCACAGTGCATTGTGATTGGCCAAATCAATGCACCTGACCACAGGTCAGGTGCAATGCTTTGGCCAATCACAGCACAATTGGGTGGAGCTAGCAGTTACATAACCGATAGCTCCGCCAAATTGTTTACTTCTGACTGGCAAATGTCAGATTGCAGCGAGTGCTCGGCAGGTGCACTGTGGTTGTGACAATACTGGACGCCGTGATTGACGATGGATTATAACGATGAAACCGTTTTTAAAAAAGGACTTGTTTTGTTTTTTGTTCAAAAAAAGAAATTTTTTTAAAAGTCTGGCATCTTTATTATTTACTGAATTTAATCCTTGAGTGAATGGGTAGGGGAACAAGTACCCCTTACTCATTCACTAGGAGGGGCAGCATCAGGGTACCCTGATGCTAATGAGCTCCCCACCAGGGTTGTGGGGAAGAGGCCCTTGTCCACATCGGCATATAGACACTGTCCCATTCCCGAGGGCACATGGCTTGGTAAGCCGCGGGGGGGGGGGGCGCTTGTTCTCCCCCCCCCCCCCCCCTTTCCTGCTCTGCTAGACCTGTACTCAGATCAGAGGTCTGGTAGGAATTAAGGGGGAACCCCACACTTTTTTTACCCCATTTTTTTGGAGTGGGGTTCTGCCTAAAAGTCCTAAAGGGCCTGGTATGGCTTTTAGGGGGAACCCCATGCACTTTTTTTTTAATTTTTACTGTGGGGTCCCTCCTAACCTTCCTACCAGACCTAAAGGGTCTAGTATGGATTGGGGGACCCCAAGCTGTTACGCTGTTTTTTTGTTTTGTTTATTTATAGCAATTTCATTTTTTTTTTTTTTTTTTAAATGTCAGCCCTGCTGCAGATTCTATACATTGTACAGATGTGCATCTTTGCAGGTAGTTTAAGGGGACCCCTCAGGTTTGATATTTAAAGGATTTTTTTTTTTTTTTTTTTTTACTTTAAACAATGAAAAATGACTGCCCCCTTTAAAAACGGTACTTTTTGAAAAATGTTTTTCCACTGATTCATGTTCCTCAGGGCAGTACCCGAGTCCTCATACCCCTTTTATCGCCAATAACATGGATATAAGCCTTTAAAATGGGCACTTCTGAATTTACAAGTTTGAGTCCCATAGACTTGCATTGAGTTCGAAGTTCGCGGTCGAACATTCATTAGGTTCGAATGTTTGACTGTGAACTGAGCACGGGGGTGTTCTGCCCACCACTACTGTACAGTAGGAAACAAAAAAGGTCCTGTCGGCAGCACTCTAATTAATCCACTTTATTAGGCATTCACTTAAAATCAAATGACAGTGCAAATACAGTGGGGGACAAACTGGTGGACGTGTTTCACGCTAAAGACAGCGATTAATCATTACTCACTTACTAATTAAGTGCTGTCTTTAGCATGAAACAGTCTACCTGCTTGCCCCCCACTGTATTTGCACTGTCTGTCATTTGGTTTTAAGTGAATGCCTAATAAAGTAGATTAATTGGAGTGCAGTCCACTGGACCATTTTTGTTTCCTGATGAAAAGGATATTGTAACACTTTTAAATATTTATAAATTTATTTTTAACAGTCAATGCATTAAAATATTTTTTATTAAAGCACATCAGGGCAAAATAAAGGAAGCTTTATCTCTTTAAAGATCCTGCATGTATAGAAAAATACCTGTTGATCTGCCAGAAATGCAGTCAGCTCTTAAGTCCTGATTTGGGCTGACAGCATACAGCATTGTAGCATTGTAGATTGAGTGTCAGCCCTGACCAGTTTTTTTTGTTAAACTATCCAACCATTCTAGTCTCACATCTCCACAATATCAAGGTTAGTCATTCTGTAGTTCAAGATAAAGACTAGGAAGGTTAAAAAGACTTAGTTGGAGAGATTTACTACAACTGGAGTATTCAGAATCTGGTGCAGCTTTGCATGGTAGCCAATCAGCTTCTAACTTCAGCTGGTTCAATTAAGATTTGACAATAAAACCTGGAAGCTGATTGGTTTCTATGCAGCTCTGCACCAGCTTTTGCACCATGCAGTTTTAGTAAGTCTCCCCCTTTAAGACAGCACAGGCAAGCTTAGTTTACATTTGGGTTGAAATAGGTATAGGAGCAATTTTAAACCTCTCCTACCACCCAGCACCAAACCTGTCTCATAGTTTAATGGTGACCTGACAGCCTTGTACACAGAGGTGGTAGTGTCTTGCCGTCATATTTTGCAGGCAGTACCACCGTTGAATGTACCCATTCAAGTGAATAGGGCCATGCCACAATCACGAGCCAAGCACTCGGTTTGCAATATTCCTATGTTAAAACAATGTTCGATTGTAAAAAAAAAAAAAAAAAAAAAAAAAAAAAAAACAGGCTTTTGGGGTGGGGGGACAGTATTGCCTACTGAATGACTATCTTCCGCTCCTTTATTATCTATATATACGTATACTGTATATATACTATATTGCCAAAAAGTATTGGGACGCCTGCCTTTACATGCAAATGAACTTTAATGGCATCCCAGTCTCAATCCGTAGGGTTCAATATGGAGTTGGTCCACCCTTTGCCACTGTAAACGCTTCCACTCTTCCGGGAAGGCTGTCCACAAGGTTTAGGAGTGTGTCTATGGGGATGTTTGACCATTTTTCCAGAAGCACATTTGTGAGGTCAGGCACTGATGTTGGAGGAGAAGGCCTGGCTCGCAGTCTCCGGTTTAACTCATCCCCAGGGGTGGACTGATCATTGGGGAACTCAGGCACTGGGGCCTGGGGTCAGTAGGGGGCCCCATGAGATGTCCCTGGTATCTTTCATAGGCTTTTTTGGGTGGGATTTGAGTGTGGGTGGGGACACAGGGGCCCCATGATCCCCTATTGCCCGGGGGCCCCATGAGTTGTCAGCCCGCCCCTGCTCATCCCAAAGGTGTTCTATCAAGTTGAGGTCAGGACTCTGCATAGGTCAGTCCAGTTCCTCCACTCCAAACTCGCTAATCCATGTCTTTTTGAATCTTGCTTTGTGCACTGGTGCGCAGTCATGTTGAAATTGTCCAAAATGTCTTTGTATGCTGATGTCTTAAGAGTTCCCTACACTGGAAATAAGGGGCCAAGCCCAACCCCTGAAAAACAAACCCACACCATAATTCCCCCTCCACCAAACTTTGTACAATGCAGGCAGGCAAGTACCGTTCTTCTGGCAACTGCCAGACCCAGACATGTCCATCAGATTGCCAGACAGAGAAGCATGATTAGTCACTCCAGAGAACAAGTCTCCACTGCTCTAGAGTACAGTGGCGGTGTGCTTTACACCACTGCATCCGACTCTTTGCATTCCACTTGGTGATGTAAGGCTTAGATGCAGCTGCTCGGCCATGGAAACCCATTCCATGAAGCTCTCTACGCGCTGTTGTTGTGCTACTCTGCACATGCAATTTGGAGGTCTTTAGCTATTGCAGACAGTTGGCGACTTCTGTGCACTGTGTGCTTCAGCATGCGCTGACACCGCTCTGTCATTTTACGTGGCTTACCACTTCATGGTTGAGTTCCCAGTTGCTTCCACTTTGTTATAATACCACTAACAGTAGACTGGAATATTTAGTAGTAAGGAAATTTCACAGATGGACTTATTGCACAGGTGGCAACCTATCACGGTACCACGCTTGAATTCACTGAACTCCTGAGAGCGACCCATTCTTTCACAAATGTTTGTAGAAGCAGTCTGCATGCCTAGGTGCTTGATTTTATACACCTGTGGCCATGGAAATGATTGGAACATCTGAATCCAATGCTGTATGCACAGAGCTGATGACTAATCATTGTGTTGCTGTTCCCTCATGGTCCATTAAGCAAATTGTTGGTCCGAGAGGTGACACCACCTTGCATTCCCTAAGCCTTACATGATACAATTTCCTTGTTCAATTTCCTTTAGATTTACCTTCAACTATGTAGTGCAAGGGCAAGAACATTTTATAATGTATGACCAGCCTTAACACCAAGTGGGGTTTACCATCTTGGCTGTGCTGTCTGGCAGTATATGTAATACAAAAGAAAGAATTACAAATCCTTTGGCAGATAAAGCAATTCTCATATATGTATTTCAACTGTGGATTTAGCTATTTTAGTTATATTTAGTTTATATTCCTAAACTGGCTGATGGTCACAAAGAAGGAATGAGAGGGCTGCCACTGGCCCAGAAAACACAAATTTAACATGTTTGTCTTCAATGGTTTATGGCTAACCACAAACTGATAAAAAAAAAAAAGTCTAAGAATAATAAAGTATGAATGCAAGTAAAAAAGTGGATGACATATCTACCAGAGTTAGAAGCATACAGAACCAGCACTTTGTTACTAGAAATGCTGTGTCCTCAAAATCTCAGACTCAGAGCTGAAACCACACCATCTGAGGTACAACAAAACTCTTAGTGACCCAACCATATTTCCAGACCAAACCCTGAATGTCCTTCTCTAATCCCTTTTTTTTTTTACAATTACATATATCCAGAAGAAAGTCAATAGCAGACCCAGAATGATAATGTCAGCCTGGGTATTGCTTGCCAATTCTAATTGTTGATTTAACCTGAATTACTACCATGTTATAATGATACTTGTATATGGCAGGTTAAAGGCTATTTCAAACACTTTCAACATTTAAACTCTAATAGCTGGCAAGATCTTTGACCTTTTATATATCCATAGTTATGTCCTAATAAGCTCTTACCTCTTCTGTATGCCTTCTTATACCCTAATAGCCTGTAAGCTTTTACACCTGTATTCTTCCATATCCCCTAATAGATTGTAACATCTTCCACCATCAGTATTCTACCTTATATTATACCTTCCAACCATCCCGGATCCTGCGGGATCTTCCTGGAATTTCAACCAAGTCCCGGAATCCCGCAGCTCAGGGCTGTATCCCGGAGCCCAATGCCATAATGAGTTGTAGCACTTGGCTCCACTAACTTAACTTGCAGGCAGTCAGCAGAGAGATATACTAGCTGATGCAGTGGTGGCATGGACTTGAATCTGAAGTAGAATTACTTCTAAGGTCCCCCCAGGCACACACCTCACAAAGAATAGAGCCCCCTCAGATGTCAGTGCTCATGGTCAGTTGGCAAGTATCTAGCCTGCAGTCCCCTCCAAAAGCCACTGTCCCAGTTGGGTCTGTCACACTTGCTGATATCATAACATACTTTAAACTCTTCTATCCACCCATCTTGGTGGGCCACAGTAGTGACAACAGAGAATAATGGTTTATATCTAAAAACAAAAACCTGTCATAAAGTTTTCTTATAAAACTGCTAGCATCATTATAACATAATACAATAGATGAAATCAGAAACCGCCTTCTCAATTCCTGCCTCCATTGTTCGATGTAGAATTCAATGTGCTCCCCACTTTGGCGCTGTGCTTTTACTTTGCAGTACCACAGTCCATGGGTGGAAGCAGGCTGTCAATCATGTCCCAGGAAGCATTAGATCCAATGCTTGTTTCTTGTACATGGCCCAGAATATGGACAGTCAAGGGCTCCTGAACAACCCTCTGAACCTATCTGAGTCAGAAGCAGGCACAGGTGCTCATTAAGGGACTGAGAAGGGGAATAAATAGAGCGCGACTTCCTATGATGATGCCGTGTGATAAACATGCATATGAACACCTTTGTCTTTGCAAAAATTGGAATGAAAATGTTATAAAAATTTACCAAGAAAAAAAAAAAAAAAAAAAAAAAAAAAAAAGGAGTACGACTTGAATGATAGCTCTGAATTAGCTGAGGCTACTACTGACATCAAATGTAAAAGTCTCAGGACTTTTGGATGTCTACAAAAGGAAGGATTTTACAAGTAAATTGCAAACAATAAAATATTTCCCAGTACACCTAAAAATTAGCCTGCAAAAAAAAAAAATGTAAATTACACTGCCTAACCATTTGCATTACAACAGAGCTTTTGGTTGCACAACATTTGCAATATATGTGGAAGCTGCACTGCCTTGTTAATGCCCTGGTGTATAGAGCAGCCCTAATTCTAGTCTATGAGAGCGTCAATGTTGGAACCTACACTATATTTCGTTAGTATTGGGCCAGCCCTCCAAATCATTGGATTCAGGTGTTCCAATCACCTCCATGGCCACAGGTGTATAAAATCAAGTACCTAGGCATGCAGGCTGCTTCTACAAACATTTGTGAAAGAATGGGTCGCTCTCAGGAGCTCAGTGAATTCAACCATGGTACCATGATGGGTTGCCACCTGTGCAATAAGTCCATCTGTGAAATTTCCTTGCTACTAAATATTCCACGCTCAACTGTTAGTGGTATTATAACAAAATGAAAGCAACTGGGAACAACAGCAACACAGCCACGAAGTGGTAGGCCACGTAAAATGACAGAGCGGGGTCAGCAAATGCTGAAGTGCACAGTGCGCTGAAGTCGCCAACTGTCTGCAGAGTCAATAGCTAAAGTCCTCCAAACTTTGTGTGGCCTTCAGATTAGCACAACAGCAGTGCGTAGAGAGCTTCATGGAATGGGTTTCCATGGCCGAGCAGCAGCATCCAAGCCTTACATCACCCGGTCTGCATGCCTAGGTGTTTGATTTTATACACCTGTGGCCATGGAGGTGATTGGAACACCCGAATCCAATGATTTGGAGGGGTGTTCCAATACTTTTGGCACTATAGTGTATGTTCCAACATTGAGGCTCTCATAGACTAGTTAGGGCTTCACTATACACGGGTTGGCTGCTTAGCAAGGAGGCTATCCAAGGAATGCTTTGCATTTTCTTAATGAACGCAAAGCATTCTCTGATTAGACAAGGCTGAAAGCGTGACATCACCTCCCCTACTTTGTCATAGTGGTGAAGCTTCTCTGCATCTAGATGCCAGCACTTCATACCCATACTCATTTTGTATGGGCAGCAGATTCCGGTAGTTCTTAGTGAATATATAAACCCAATACTTCATATTCCTGATATGTTCCTGCTGTACCATGTACTTGTACAAAAAAGTATCCTGTTCTCTTTGTATTGCTTCCCTTGTGTGAAATCTCAGGTGTTCCTGACAGTTCCTCTGCATTCCTATTAAAAAACTGACCACACTCTGGGAGCACAATGTGGTCATTTCTTTAGCTGTGCTGGGAACTCAGTCTGCTCTCCTCCAATGATCAGACCTCTGCTGACATGCCATTCGCACATCCATGCACTGGCAATATCAGTGTGCTGCAGTTTCTCCTCCCTCACCTCTTAATACTGTTGAGAACACAGGGTATGTGATTACTTCTAAAAAAATTATAAAGGTATTTGTTAATGTTTTTTTAATATATCTGTACACAAAATGTTTTGTCTTTTTTTCTATTTTATACTGAATGGGTTGTTTTACAAGGTTTATACACTTAAATAGAGCCACTTATACAAAGTGGTGCTAGTAATGCACCAAATTCAAAAATAATTACCTCCAGATAATGAAACTGGAAGTAACTGGGACAAACTCCAAGTTGGAGTACAGAGACAGGCAGAGTGCCTCTCTCTGTACACTGTGTAGCTGGCTGAATATTTGCCGCTGCTACTCCCACCAGTGGTTGTTAAGGATACTGTTGGCTTCACAGCTTACAGCCTCCTTACAACTAGTTGTTGTCAGTGGGCGAAGCCTGATGAGGAAGCTGCAATACTAGTTCCCCATCAGGTCTGCTCTCTCCTTGTGATTAAGAGCAGGCAGTAGGCAGATTCTATAGCCAATAGCATGTTGTCTATTGGCTAAGAATACACCGACTGCCTGCTGTTAATCTCCAGGGAATCCCCATCAGGCCCCATTCACCTACCTCTGTGAAAGCTGCAGTAGCAGGAGGAGCTGCACTGAGGATCAATGCTTGTATGGGCCCTCTGGTCTCAGTGTGGCTCCACATACAATGCTTGCCTCAGCTTCATGTACTATTAACTATAGGCACATGTATCTGTCGCCCACACTGATATTTGTCATATGACACGTTGGGACTCCAAAGAGTGTCTTAGACATTCTTTATGAGTTCCTCTGAGAATCTTTTTACTAACCCAAATATATTCTGCCCCCTAAAATCTAACCTGACACTGATAGTCCTTTAAATGTTAACACTTTAGCATAACATAGTCCTAAAACTTAAAAAAAAATAACACTGGAAGTAACCTTAACCCCATTGATTGTAGCAGAACACAGGGATGTTCAATTCATATCACCCGACGCTGGGGACATGTAGGTCCGGGCACCGGGCATGTATTTTTTTTGTCAACCTTTAGCCCTGTTGCAAGCAAGCAGCAGGGCTCATCTGTCAGGTGGAAGCATTCGGATGGTTGCACTGCTGCCCATTTGCTTCCACCAGCCCACTATGGTGCCAGCCTCTGCCCCCCCCCCCCCCCCCGCTATGTTTCCTGGGCTCTGCTTGCCCATCTACGGGCCCGGGACTAGTTCAGTGGGTGCCGGCGGGTATAGGAGAGGGAGGAGAGCGGACATATCACCTCCCCTTCTTGTCCTGACCTGGAAGTGATGTGACGTCACTTTCGGGTCCCCGCTGACAGATTAATATAAAGAGAAAAGTGCCATTAAAATTAGGTGTAATCACCATATTCTAAATAGTCCCCGACTCACCTAATGTATAGGGTGTGGATTTTAAACCAAATAACATATGAAAAGAAATTAGCAGCTGACAAGAGCAGACCTGCCATAAAGTGGTATATTACAAATCCTATACAAATCCTATGCGGAGTAATGATCACTAAATTAGTGAATG